TTATAAGGTGAATCTATTATTCCTAAGGGGTGGTTACTTTTGAACTGCACACTTTGATCTGCGTTATCTGTTATATCTAAGACTGATGTCTGGCGGTTACATTCGTTATCCGACAACGATGAATTATATTGTGGTAGCAGACACATAATGGTTAAGTCCTGTTCTGTTGTTCAAAGTCCGACACACATCGACCCAGTAATTTTGCCCATGTAAAGTAAATGGATCACTCAGCCGAGAATCAAGCCACTTTTGAACGGGACACCGAAATGGCATTCGCCGTTTTCAGGTACACAGTTGTTTGTTGAAATTGTAAACAAAACATGGGCATATTAGTGTACAACTGGTCATTCCCGCGAAACTGAGAACGCCTTTATTTGACGTGCTTTCCCTGGAAACCCGACCCGTTCCCAGGCCGTACTTGTGCCCATTCTCGTCATGTCATGTGTGCCCTAAAATCTCAGCTACAGATGACGAAAAGGGCAAAAGTGAGGGTCGGCAAGGGATATTTTCGTAAGCTGTAATCAACTGTTGTTTATTTTCGCCATAATGTAATTTAAATAAATAAAAAACGTAAATTCGTAGACATGGGCAAGGTGTAAAATGTAGTCAGCTATTTTATTCGTCCGTAATTTGTAAAATGATCCTATATTTTGTAAGCATTTTCCAAATTAAATGGCGTAATATTATAAAAATGTAATTAGGAATTTGCTTTATTCGTAAAGTGTAAAAACCTATTTTTTTTACTGTAAATGGAACTTTTTTTTATTTTCTGTAAAAACGTAAAATGCCATTTTTATTTCCTGTAATGTACGTGTACCAGCTACCCCCCCCCCCACACACACACACGCACCCTTGCCTCCCTTCAAAAGTATATCCGTGGTGTGGGCCCACAAATAGTCCAAACCACTCTTTAGGAGACGAGTTTAACTGCTGAGGGACCCTTGGAAAAAGTATTGTTGCCAGGCTAGTATTGGTCTGTCTGACGATAATTTCAAATAGACTGTCAGCTCATATTTTTCAAAATATTATTTTTTTTAATAATATAGAGCATTATTAAAAAAAAACAGTATTACACCATAATGAGAAAAACAACTAAAACTAATAAAAAAGTTAAAAACAAAAATAACCTACTGCATTTGGCAAATTAGAGTTTTAAAAATGTTATAACATGTCTGAGTAAATAAATGAATTGAAACAGTATTCATGATGGTAAAAAATGTGTTTGTACTATCAGTACTATTAATCAGAAGATTTATTGCTGAATTAAAAATATAGTTTCTCCATTTCTTATTTGAAGTTGCACTTCTTATGTCATTCATATTGCTTTATTATTGTGAAATTTGTATTGACATTGTGTCCTTCATAGGACTTAGATTTACATAAAATAAAGAGTTTAATAATTAAAATAAAAAATTAATGGATAGATGCATGGATTAAATTTCAGTATCAAATTTGTTAAAGAAATGGTTTCTAATATGTGTGTGTGCTTTACAATAAAAAAAAAAGATTCCATTTCAAAGGTGTATGTGCTAATTTGATCATGGCCAAACTGTAATATGAATTCTTTACTATTTCTAGGTAACTTTCAAAATAAACTTTTATTGAAGTGAAAATTATCTCATTCTTGTTTCCAGTGTTTTTTACTCAAAAAGTTTTTCCACGTTTAATTGATTAAGTGTTTTTTTTTTCTGTCACCCAATTTTTTATTCTGGATTTTTCCAATTGTTAACCTTGTTCAAGGCTTAAATTATCAATAAATCATGTGAACTATTATTTGAAGCGATACTTAATCGTTATGTGAAATATTTGATGGTCTGAATTTGCACACATTTATTGCTCAGAATTTGTTTTTGGCCTGTAATTATAAACAAAAGTGTGAATCTAAATTGTGAACCCATCATACTGGATACTATTTAAAAAGTGTTATTACCTGGTAAATTAAATCTGAATGCACCATCAGATTTTAAAACTAAAGCCATCAGTGTTTAAACACTCTAAAAGCTAGCATTGAGAGTAGATATGTGGACCCACAACCACCGTAAAATCTGTATTAGAAGCCGCATTCCTAACAGAAGCCGCACACATTCTTTTTGAACAATTGAAAACCCAACATTCACAATTTCTCATATGTGTAGATGCTTTAATAGAAGCCGCACCCGCTCTGTTGCATTGTACCATTTTAATAGAAGCCGCAACTTTTAATACAGATTATACAGTACTATAAACCACTCTTTACTAGACAGCTTCAACTGCTTGAGAGCCCCTAGAAATTTCTAGAAAATGAAAAGTACCGATATGCACTTGGGTAGTATGGTACTTCATCAATCTCTATTATGCAACACTTGATACAATCAGCTTTTGTATATACTTCAGGGTATTCTTGTAATAATCTCATATTATTGTTCTCATGAATTATAGCTTACATTTATAATCTATTTATTCAACAGATGTCCTCCCGAATTACTGCTCAGACCTTTGGTCAGGTAAAGTACAATGTATAGACAGTATATCCATAAAATTTGCTTGCTTGCTTGTTTGTTTGTTTGTTTTTTCTTTGTTTGTTTGTTATGTGTTGATTCATTCATTCATTTATTTATTCAGGCATTCATTATTGCATTCATTATTGCATTCATCATTGCATTCATCATTGCATTCATTCAACTTTAAAAAAACAAATTTGGATATAATTTTTTGAAGTGTTTTTGACTTGCCCAATGATATAAAATGACAACCTGCGATGGAAAAATGATTTTTCATTCCTGTGATCTTGCACATAACAAAATCCATATCCATAGAACACTTGTTTCTTCACTATTAATTCAGAAAAAGAGTAAAATGGGGGAAAAAAACGTATGCATGTATTTTACATTACATATGTGTGTTATGAAAATAAATACCGGGGGTAAACGTTCAAATAAATTCCTAGAAAAGTAATTTCATTGATTCACATAATAAAAATGTTTTCATTTTACAAGTTTCAAGAGTTTATCTAAAAAATGTCCATACTGCATCATTTTAAAATCATACCCTCTACTGGTTTACAATGTGTAGCAAAGCTTAGCACTCCAGTCATAATATCTTTAAGTTACCGTACTTAATAAGTATTTCGCAGTTACCTAATTTGTTCCCTGCTACAAAAATCCACTCCTTTCCCTGAAAAAGGATAATGCTTTTCATCTCACGGAACATTGACAAATTGATATGGCATTTCAGTTTTAATTGTTTATTCAATACTATAATAAGATAAATGTTAAATGTTTAACATTTATAAATTACTTTTGAATATATACATAAAAAGCTTAGCTATTTTTAGCTGTGTGTGGAGCACGTCCTGATACCCAAAATTGCAACAACAAAAAAAAGTGTGTGAGGCACAGTTTTCAAACTGGCACATGCAAGTTCTTGTAATAATTTATTAAACCTTCATTATCTATCAAAGAGCAAAATGTTGAGATATTTCTGTGCCATAACAAGCAACAAATTTCACTGAGTGTTGTCACGGTTACTAGAAGTAATCACGGTGTTGTATAAATTGTTTCCGAACTATGTCAGTGACTCTATTTTTATTAAAATTTACTTGCAAGTCAAAATTTATGAAAGTTATTTCACAAATAATACAGTAAATCCTGCAGCCAGATTTTCACAAGTGAACTGTCAAATATATATCCACACGTCCACATAGTTTTATTTACTGTGTTCTCCTGTCTTTGACAAGAATGCTTGCATGCACGCTAAATTTGTAACATATTGTTCTTTTTTTTTCAGAAACAATCTATGTGTGCCACGGCCATTAATGAATCTAACACACTCACATGTGCGGACGTTATGCAGAGCGGCAGTGTGCGAGGAATATAATAAACCTTTAGTCATCAGAAATATTCCCAGGGTTGAGAAACTAGGGTCGGGTTTGATTCGAGTTGCTGTAAAGTGTGTTGGTGTCAACTTTGCTGATATACTGTCCTGCAAAGGACAATATCAAAAAAAATTGTCTCCACCATTTGTGCCAGGTAAGAATTAAAAAGTTTATGTCAGTTTGAGTTGAATTAAAATTACTACTGAGCATGTGTATGCAATGCATTATGGGAGAGAAATTCCCATTGTATAGAATGGAAAGCTTATTATCATAATATCTTTTATTTCTATTGAGCGAAATTTTGAAATATGAAGAAATAATTTCACCATAGAAACCACTGTAATTTTGATCCATTTAATTTCCATGATATTTCAAACTCAAAAGATTTCCTGATGGTATGAACCAAAATTACTGAAACTATGACAACTATACAAACAACTACATGTATTAATTATTTTTTAATTCGGTGTGAACTTTTTAGTCCCCGTTCGGACATAGTCCGAAAACGGGGACTTATGTTTTGCCCTGTGTGCGTTCGTGCGTCCGTGATCACCTGTATCTCGAACAGGCATGGACCGATTAAGTTCAAACTTCACTCATACATCACACATTATATGGGACATATGCACATGCATTTTTTTCATGATCCGATTAACGATAGCCGAATAGCGGCCATTTTAAGGCCGAAAATGCATCAAAATCACACATTTTCACCATTCCGGACTCGGATCTCAGTTATGCATGGACGGATTTCGTTCAAATTTGGTACATACATTAAACATAATAGGACCTTGATGCACATCATTTTTTTTTTGGATCGGGTTTGACTGGCGGCCATTTTGTTTTAAAGAATTCAGTTCTGGATCCGTATTTGAGACATGCTTGGATTGATCAAGTTCAAACTTCACACACACAAGGTACATCATGTCACAAATATGTATGTGCATTTGTTTCATGATTTTATTAACGATAGCCAAATGGCGGTCGCTTTAAGGTAGAAAATGCATTGAAATCGCACATTTTCACCATTCCGAACCCGGATCTCAGTTATGCATGGACGGATTTTGTTCAAATTTGGTACATACATTAAACATAATAGGACCTTGATGCACGTCATTTTTTTTCCGGATCAAGTTCGAAATGGCCGACTGGCGGCCATTTTGTTTAAATAAATTCAGTTCTGGATCCGCATCCAAGACATGTCTGGATTGATCAAGTTCAAACTTCACACACACATGGTACATCATGTCACAAATAGATATGTGCATTTGTTTCAATGATCCGCTTAACAATAGCTGAATGATGGCCATTTTAAGGCCTAAATGCATCAAAATCACGTATTTTCACAATTCCGGAACCAGATCTCAGTCATGCATGGATGGATTTAGTTCAGATTTAGTACAATGTGTTGTACATATGCAGGTGCATTTCGGTCATGATCTGCTTTAAATGTATATGTCACTTAAATATGAACGGAACGGGGACGTGTCATTGACAATGACTTGTTTATATGTGCATAGACAGGGGGAAATGCTGTATGTACCCCACGTTTCAGACTACCATTTTCGCACTCTAACTATACCTCTTGGAGAAAACAGGTACATCTATAGATATCAACTTGCTTCTCTCCATAGTATGATGCATTGATTCTATTTAGCTGCTACTTATTCAGGTGCTTTGAGAAATATTTCTTCAAGAAATACAGTCACCATAATGTAATTTGTTTTGCTATGGACAACTTAAGCTACCGGTATACTAGGAGGAAGGTTGTTTCTTTTCATTTACTATACATGTTGAAAAATTATCTGAAATGAATATTTTATTTGATATTCTATAATTATGGATCATCATCTGTGCATTGAGAATATACAGGCTCTCTGGTAGCTGCTAAAAAAACCTGAAAACTCATAGACCAGAATGCTAATTAAAGCTAAATTTTATCACCTGGCTTCCACAAAATGAACCTTGATAAATCTTTTCCACATTTTACCAAAAAACTTGCAGTATACATACAATGGAAATGCTATGCTCTCCTCAATTGTATATCAAAATATTTATTTACCGGTAATTGGAAACATTTTGTCTTCATCCATTTTTTTTTTAGGATTGGAAATATCTGGTGAAGTTTCTGAGGTAGCTGATAATGTGACAACATTTAAGAAGGTATAAAACACAATAATTATAATCAATATATACAAGAAAAGGAATTATTAAATAAGTAAATCATATTTTTAGACATCTGTCACTGCAACGGCATAAGTTTGCGGTATTGCAGTGGGTAATTTGCATCCTACCATATTAGGCAATGCTAATTCCAAATATGGATTGATTACACGAGTCAGCATTAAATTCTCTAATAATGAAAACAAACATGGCAGCCCCAGCGTAAAGTTTGACCAGTCCCCATCCAAAGTTTGTTGAATCTGTTCTAAACTTTTTGGATTTCGGCATTCCCATTGTATCCTTGGAAGGAAAAGATGTATAATAATAAGGTAATTATGAGGATGCACCAAAGTATGCAGTCCGACAGTACAGCTTCCACTGCACGTCGATCAATATACTCCCGCTGTAGTGTCTTTGTGCATACTTTGCAATACACTCTTAATAAGCTCATATTATTGTTGGACATTGCTCTGTTAAAACAAGAATTGATCGCATATAAACACTTTAATTACTTTGTTTACATTTGAAGTAGCAATTACGTAGGCATGGACCATGTACACAAATCTTATAAAATGTATTTTGCTGGTTCTCAGCGAATTATGACCACTAGCAAGTTAATACCCCAAATTACCATGATCGAGCAACCATATGTTTCTGTTATTTTAGCTGTGATAGTATTGTGTAGTATACGATTCACTCCATG